GCGGCCAGGGAGCTTCGCTAGTAACATCTGTACCCCTGTTCAGCACCCTAGTCGTCGCATGAATTTAACTTAATTTTAGGACCTGCTGACTTCCTGCGCATATATCTAGTCTGGCTTTGAGAGGAAAAAGGGAAGAAAGGTACCAGAGATTTAAATTAAGATGCAGAGAGGTGACACTGCAGTAAACCCATCAAAAATGTGTGTGTATACCAATCATGAAGGATCGACTATCACGTCTGATAGATGCCATAGGATATACAAATGCAGCCCGCATGCGAGTATTTTTCAAAACGTCAAGATGCATATGGGTGTTAAGCTACATTACTCAATTCTCCCACTAAGAAGCAATGGCGTAAAGGAATCAGACCCCCAATTCATCTCATGCTTCCTTTTCTGCTAATACAAATATTAGCTTTGGCTTGTAGTTTGCTCGGGATATATCCAACGCTTGGCCATCCCAAATAGTGGATTCATACTACGATCCTTTCGTCGGACTTTGGAAAACATACATAATGCCGAGTTTTGGGGAATTAGTTTATGAGAGTCTTGTGTAAGTAACAGATGGAATGTGGAGAAGACTCGCTAAATCCTGAAACAAATAATATCTTCGATGAGTAGTCTAGGTGGGAATCTCAATATACTCACTCCAACTATCCAGTGTCTACAGCGGCAACCTACCCACCGAACCTTATCGAGTACGAGATACATTACCATTCTAGGATAAAACTAGCTTGCTAAAACTCGCTTACTAAATCCACGAAGGAAGTAAGTATCCTGCCTTTCTTTTCCTCATTAGGAACTGTAGAATTCGAAAAGTTTTGTCGATCACATCAAGATCTGCATTCAATACATCGGTAGTAGCCTTCATGAAATTCGTAAGTGTACATACGATGAAAAACTAACCAACCGCATCTTTAGGTTCCGTGGCGCATTATCTATTATTATTTATCACTATTTATCATTATCATTATTGATTGATATTGGCATCGGTGTTGGAAGCGAAACTTGCACATATCTAGATATACTCCCCCCTGCGAAGAAGTCTGCGCAGACTATGATCCAGAATCATAGTCTCAATTACTCACTGGATTTACAATTACATCCTAGTGAATGGCGAGCATCAATGCTCTGCTCTGTTCTCCTTTCTTGTACCATGAAATCGTTCAGTGACGAAGATTATATCAAATTAGACAAAATTCTTGCAATTCAAAGTTGGAATAAGCGCGCGTTCGGCATTTTTCTCATACATTTCCACATTATACTATACCATAAAATTATGTGAACGATGTGGTACGATACGGAAAATGTATCATTCAGAACTACAACCTCCTTTCTCTGATCTCATTTCATTTAATAATACTATCCATCCATCCATTCATCCTTCCTTTCACTCTGATCTGTATAGTCAACTATCCAGATAGTTCTCTCACCCATTTCAAGTCTATATCCATCTCCACCAGGCTGTTAGCATCGTACATCCCATCAAGACTTGCACCTCGAGACATTGAGCGTCGCTTATCTTGCCGCACGGAAAATTCAGGATCCGTAAATCAATTACAAGTTAGGTACTCGTTCGCAGGCGCGGCTGCATCATTCTCCCCATGCCGAAGTGATCGGCGTTGATACGCGTGGATATGTCGATCGGTACATGTCGATAGCTTTCAGGGACCGATGATCTTTGCAATTTCTATATTTCCACAAGTTAGTTTATTTTGTGGTGAAGTACATTGTTGCTACTGCCTGTGCTGGTGTCAGGGGAAGTCTGTTTACAGAATTCCTAGACTCAGAATTGATGGATTGTGAAGATAGAGGGGAGACAGTCTTACAACGCTCTCTGTGTAGTCAGCTGGTGGCGTGACGATACCTGCACATCCGCACATCTGCAAATCTAATGTAAGATATCCTTCCATCATGGAAAGTCTTACTACCATGATATTGCTTTGATTATAGTACCAAAGTATTATGTACAATAGTTTGACACGGCTGAGTACGAGCCTACGGAGAGGTATCAAATTCTCACTTTCCGGCATCTGTCATCACTAGACGAAATGAAATTAACGATTTTGTAAGCCTGATACTGGTAGAAGCGATAATCCATGTATCATCTCACTATGTATGATCTTTCATTTCTCTATTTCTCATTGCTCGAGTCCGCATGCTCGATACACTTTTTCAACTCACTTGCCTACTTGTGAAATACCTCTCGACTCGGTCGCTTTCATGCCTCTATTACTTTCACGCTAATTCTTCCTGTCTCAAAGTTCAGATCAAATTTGACACTGATCCTTCATTTAACGACCATCACATCTCTAAGTAAGAAACTATAATTTTGCTCTTACCCAATATTCTCTCGTTATTGCATCCTCTTTACAAAAGGTATTAGGTATTGTAAATTTAGAGGAGAGTGTGGCCAACTACAAAAGGTCTCTTTGGAGACATTTACCTATCATCCATCCATGTATGACAAGTTCAATTCAGCTCTGATCGATATCATCATCAGATGAAATGGCATATACATACTAGCTGGTCTCTGCAACAAAAGGCTCACCAGAACTTTGTTTCTCTCATTCAAATCCACCCTTTTCGAGGAGATCAGTTGAGGTTTTCAAAACCCATCTTTGTGTCTAGGGATTGCGAAATGAGGAGTGGGTATAGTGGTGAATTGATACTGCGATCCGATTGTTGGACAGTATAAAAAATGAGAGATATCCAGCATGTGATGACTACCTAGCGAATGTATGAAAGAATTTTTCAAAAATATCATAACACAAAATAACCATGTGAACGTTCAATCTTTAGACCTTGAACCCTTGATCCTCGACTCCTAACTCACAGGTGAGAGTGAACAGATCAACAATCACCACACCCCTATTCTTCATTTCTCTATTTTCCCATCCAACAACATAGCGAGAAGGAATGGAATTCGAAACTAAAAGCAGGAATACCTGTACATACACCTATTCGCGTCAAGTCCGACCTACTCCATCTTCTACAAAGCGGATGGAAATTGAACCAAGAAGTTGATCATACCACCGAGCTTCGAGAGACCGCGCAGCGTACACTTATATTCGATTTCACACGCACCATAGATTTCAACTAACTAACAACTAGAATCGAGATTTGCCAGGTAAGTAAGTATCCCCGCAAACGCCACGTAGAATTGACAAATTTGGGCTTAACAGACACTACCATCTAGAATATCTCTAGCACTCAGCCTTTGATACGCTTTTCAGGATGCTTATTAGGAACCACCTTGTATGTGAAGGGGTATAAACATGCAACAGACCCATTTCTTCCAGCTTGTAGAATTTAATTGGAGTAATCATATGGTAGTTAGTAGTGGACGAATTTAGAGCCACCGGAGACTACCGTGTAGATTATTCGTGGTATGCTTACTTCGTAGACGCTTGTGAGCATGCTTGTCAGGATGCACTCTAAATTGAGAGTTATACACATAAAGGGTACAGCAAAACTATTCCCGGTAGTCCTGAAGAATACAACTGGGATGTGTAGCTAGTGTAAGAGTATTCAGCTGTGATATTCAAAATAATAGACGCATCGTTGAAACCATGCTATAGGTACTTGTAAGGGACATATTTACCTTTCCAATTTCAATCCTAGAGGTATTAGGTATGCAACAAATGTAGATCTTTTGAGAACGGGTTTTGAATTGGGATATCATCAAACATTTTATGGAAAAGACTTCCCTCATTATAAAACGCACTTACATACATCTCCATCCCCGTTCCCCTCCTGAAAACCGCAACCCGCAAAGCTCTCTCGGCAGCCCAGAATATACAAAAATGCAGTCCCCCTACATCCAATTCAAATGCTCTATTTCAATATCCTAGTTCATCGTCCTATCCACCATCTCTCCTCGCGTTCTCCCAATCTTCTATACATACCCACTAGGCACTACTACTTACCCCAGAGACCTTCATCTGTGCATCTCAGTTATGGGTCAAGCAAAGGAGGTAGACTATACAAACCATTGCAGAAAATAATAATAGCAGCAAAGAAAAGCAAGAGTAATAAGGAATCATTGCGGGATATATTACATACCTGGGTATTTGGACAGATTTTCATGAAGAACCATGAAATATCATTAAAGAAAGAGAGAGGAAGGAAAGACAGACTATCAAGTAGACGTCAAAAAATGCTTTCAGGAAAAAGAGTGAGAAGTAAGGCTTCCGGGTGGAAAAATAGGTTCTCAGGGAATGGAGAAAAAGGATTACCAGATAGATAGACACACCAGTAGACGTAATACAGAAGAGCAGATTACTACCACGCATTTTCAACCCACTCTCCTTCCCTTCCATCATTTCCACCATCCCCATCCTCCCCCTACTCTCCCGCTTCTTTCCAGCCGCTTTCTCTTCACCAAAATCATTCACACTACATCACTCAGGCTCACAGCTCCCAAAAGCATAACCACAAAACATAACCATTTCAAATATGCTAACGCAATTACTTTGTATTCGCTATGCTGCCCCCCCCCCCCCCCCTAATATACATGCTTCCCCCGCTATCATCAGAAGAGAAGAAGATGTGAGATACCTATTAGTATTTCATCGCTGGAATATCAGAGCATGTTTCCTATTCACTTGCTCAATTCCTCCACCCACACCACAAATCCCCACGAACATTATTTTCAATTAGTTTTCCGAGTCTCAAGGACATAGATTCCTCCGTCTATGCACTTGAAATTACTCCCTTCCTTTCCCATTCCACTCCTTCCCTTCCCCTCAAAAACGCCCCGGTGTGGAGAAAACAATAATATAAGCCAAGCCCAAGCCCGCCCTATGTTAATCAACTGGGATTCGCCCCAGTGCCCTTGTACTCCATCCTGTAAATGATACCAATGATGCTAAAACTCCTTGAAACTAGGGAAATCGTATGATGATGATTCGTGAAATAGTATCCTATTGATTTGGACACAAAGAAAAAAAAAAGATTGAGAATGCCTAGCATCCTAGAATTGTAGGCTCGAAATTGTGAAGTTACAAGAAAATGCCCACCCATCTATCCTTGTTTTTAACAATCGATTCGCATTCATCAACTGCGCAAAGAACTGTCTTGGCTCCGCGGAAGGAGGATATTTTGTCGTTTGTACGGTTTTGAAAACACTTATTGCAGAAGACCTAGTCGATGTTAATGATGGTAGATAGAAGTGAAATAAATTGAACTTACATGACCACAATCCTTAACGACCCAGAAAGGATGTTCTTCTCTATCCTTTTTACTCGGTGCCCCACGAGATTTCTTTGCTACTGGCTCCTCACCGTCCTTTCTATGAATCAATTCTTCTTCGCAACTCGGGCAAATCGCAGTATCACTCTCCGTGGGCGACCTCGTAAATCCAGCGGGAACTGCTGGAGGCGCAACATGTTCGGGTTTGTTCTCTTGTAGAGCCACTCTTCCATAATCCATACCGTTGGGCATAGCTGGAAAATCTGCAAATAAATGAACTCCTACATCTCGACCCCCAAAACCCAAAAAATTATGGACGTCCATAATAATACCCGCACCGTTGTCGTACATATTTCTCAATCCACCAAACGCAAGTTCACCGTTGGCACCTGCTGGCGTTGGTCTTTGTGGACTCATTGGATTGCCACCGAAATGTCCGGCTACAAATCCAGGCGGGGTAGCTCTTCCATTCCTCTGTCTCTGCAAACGTTCGAACACTCCAAGTCTAGCATGCATTGGTGGTAATGGTGGGGCACGGGGAGGTAGAGGTACAGAACGTTCTCGCGAATGAGTTATGATAATAGTGTCGTCCTCCTCATCGTCGTCATCTCCTGTGAGATCCACAAACTGCTCTAATCTTGCTTCACTTCTCCCTAATCTCGGTGGTGGTCTCGAGGCAGTAGGATTCCGATTATGAGCTGACATACGGCCTGCAGGAAAAGGCGAACCTGAGGGTGAGGGTGAAGGTGTGTTGTGTCTTCGACTGTTGGCTGCCCTACGAACAGCTGCAGGATTAATTCGAACTTGGGGTGAAGGATCGTCATCTTGATCGGATGTTAAATCAATAACATTTTCTGAGTTTACTACCGGGCGGTGGCGCCGAGATGATGCTTCCATTGTTCCGGCTTCCCCTGCTGGTTGTGTATGCCCACCTGCACGCCGACTGCGCAGACTAGATTGTCCAGAATTATTATTGGGGTTTGGTGATCGTCGTCTTTGTCGTTCTCGGAGAGGAGATGTGGCGACATTAGGTGGTGCAATTCTTGAAGAGGAGTTACCCAAGTTTGAGGTACTTTCTCGAAACAATTCTGGCGACGATGAAATTCTTGGATGTGATTGGGACATCTCTGCAAGAGATCGCTTTAAACGGAATTCGTTAGTAAAGAAAGGACCAACCAAATATACCTTTTATTCAAAGAAAAAAGTAAACATTTGCTTCCTACCTTACGACTTTCCCGACTTCCTAACCATTCATTCTCCATGGTTGATAGAACTCACCAGTATATGCGCTCGGAGTTTTGTTACTTTATGAATTGAAAAGGAAAGTAACAACGCTTGACAAAAATCAGGAGGTGAACAAAGGTCCTTTTGCTCAATAAGTCGATGGTATGTAGGTGCTCGAATGTGTCTCTTTTGTGGTGGGGGTGTTGTGTGTTGTTGCAATAAGAAGTCGAAGTTGTTCCAGTCGGACCCAATTTGATATAGAACTAGTGACGATTATGAGAAACTGATATGAGTAAGCGAACACAATCTATCGTACTACTGGGTGTATTAGATTTCATAATTGAACCAGAGTCATATATGGAGTGCAGTAGAATTTGTGAAAGATTTTACACCCAGGTGATTTATAATCTTTGATCCGAATTGAAATTCTTTACCTAGTTGCCACTTAAAGTATAAATGAAGATACTGCATCTGCCTCCTTGAACATTATCTAGGTAGTATGATGTACTAGATATGTATTTACAATGTCCAACCTCGGAAGACCCTTCATCACCCTTCATCAATGTACGGCTGCTGCAAGCATTCAGTGCAATACAATACAATAATAAATACAAATTCGAATTGTATTCACTATTCAATGTCTATTCCCATCACATCTCAAGATACTTTAACAACGTATTACTATCATTTCTCTATTTTCACCACTTTATCAACCTGAGACTCTTGTGTTCTTGTTTCAGTGCTGGCTGGTCTGTGCCGCCACTATTGTTCATTTTTGGCATCTCAAAGATGCTGCTCCCCTAACATTACAGTGACATGTGAAAAGGGGCCCTATCCCTAGATCTTATTCCATTTCACATCTTCGAATCACCAAACTCCATGATATTCACGTCCCATTTCTGTTTCCTTTGACCCCCTATCGTGCAAATTCCATTATGCAGACGCCACACCAAGGACATTCACAACCCCTTCACTATCAACAGTGATCAAACTCTTCGCTTCCTCACCCCATTGTACTGCAGTTGCTGGAACAGCTACGCTCAAAGCATCCGACCAGGATTTTGTAGATTTGGTGTACTGGGAGATGGTAAGCCCTCTTGGTCCGGAAGCTGCCAAAAATTGACCAGTGTAATCCCATTGGATAGCATCAACTGGTCCACCGATTTCTAAAATCTTTGCCTCTGCAGCCTTTCCTTCTTTTCGGATATCGAAAATTACAACACTGGTAGATCCTTTGGCAACTGCCGCAAACCATATACCGTTCTCAGAAAAGGCGACATCCTGAACTGGTCCGTCAATCTCGAAATTTACACCAGCGCTTTCTCCTGTCTTGACATGGAATAACTTAATCTGTCCATCAGCGCCACCAGCCGCAAAGAGATGACCATCTGGATGGAAAGCTGCCGTTTTAAGTTCTAGAAGATGTTAACGAGGCTTGCGCCAGACAGGTTCCTATTTACAAAATTGACATACCTGAATCTGCATAAATCTGTGTGATTGCCGCTTTCTCAGCCAAATCATAGAAAACAAAGCTCTTGTCGATACCAACAGAGGCTAAAATTTCACCACTTGGATGTAATGCAAGAGCATTCACCGCTCCAGCATGCGATGTAAATGTATGCTCTTCATCTCCAAGCACCTTCACCTCTCCCTTTGCAGTAGACACAATAGGTGTGCTTTTATAGAAAGCAGCTCCCGTGACTGGTCCTCCGGCTTCAAATGACTTTATAATCTTTTGTTCAGCCAAAGAATAGATACCTGCCTCTCCTTTCGATCCACCGACAATTAACTGATCTTCGGTCTGGGCGAGTGAAACACACCCAGGGTATAAAGGTTCTGAAGTAGAAGTGATCGTGAATTGGCCAATATCTTCAGTGGTAGCCCATCCTTTTGGAACGGGTCGCTTTCGGCGGCTTTTGGAAAGTCTGTGTATTCATTAGCAATCGATTTCATAACTCGGGTCTCGTCAAGTCTCGTACTCGGCTTGTGTAGTGTCAACCAGATTCGCCAAATTTTCTGGAAGACCTTGAGTATCAACCTGCATAGCGTCGCCATTTCCTGCATTTCCTGCACCAATTGAAACCTTGCTCAACGCATCTCTAGCCTCGTCTCTCTCCTTTGTCAACCGCGCAATAACTCTTACAGCTGCATCATGTTGATACAATGCTGTCGACAGCTCCTGTCGCGTCTGATGTAATTGTTGTCTTATTGTGAAACTTTCCAATGCTAATGCATCCCATTCATTTTGGAAAGTGGAAAGGAGAGAAGGAATCGATGTGAGAGTTGGAGGTCTAGGAGTAACAATTTTGGCGGATTTGAGGTCGATTAGATCTGCGATTTCGAGGTCTTCTCCCGTAACTGGATCCTTATGATTCTCTGAAATATATGATTCGATAAGTCGTTTTTCGAAAACGTTGCCTGAAAACTGTTATTCTTAAGCTCACTGAATAGATACCTTGTTTACACAACTTACCTGATTTCGATGAAGCAACTGGATGCTGTGGGGCTTCTCCAGATACTATAAAAAGTCAATGGCAAGTACCAAATAAATTTAGGGGCTTTCAAAACTTACTTGAGCACAACATATTGATTCGCGTTGATATGAGATTTGAAGCTCTAAACTCGCGCCGTGATCCGACAAATAAAAAGATATTTTGAGGTCGCGATCAATCCATAATGACGCTAACCTATCTACGGCTTAGTTCGTGGATTTGAAGCTCCCGGCGCCGGCCTTGTGTGGGGAATTTCATATCCTTTAAGTGACTTCATCACACTTTGGGATATATATGGAGTAATACATATTATTAAATGCTTATTAGGTATTTTATATATTTTTCGAGATATATAAACATTTGTCCATCGAATCTTCTCATTCTCCCCAAGACCTTTTCTACCTATATCAGAAACGATGACTATCATACCTCCAATCGCTGGAATTCCCTCCCTATCCACTGTGGAAAGATCCGGTGTCCTCGACGCCCTATTCGAGCCATGTACTGCCCTCCATACACTCTCTATGGATTTACTTCATACAACAACTTTCGAGTCGTACAATGATCTTATCGCAAGTGTCGGTACCCAACTTGTTGATCTGTCAGAAAGTACATTACCAAGTGATAGAGAGTGGCTAGACAAGATTCTTGGTTCCCATCCTAGATTAGGCGAGAAGAAAGTAGAAAGTGTACAATCTAAAGCCGAGCAAGCTCAATTGAATACTGGACCTACAGAAGAGGCTGAAAAGTTAAAGGCTCTCAATGAAGAATATGAGAAGACTTTCCCAGGCTTGAGATATGTGTATGAAGATGCCTATCCCCTATAGTGGACAAGCAAGTGCTGACTATAATGTTAGTGTTTTCGTAAATGGAAGATCAAGACCTATCATTTTTGAAGATATGAGAAGAAGAATATCAAGAGGAGATATTGGACTCGAGAGGAAAGAGGCTATTCAGGTACGCTGTATTCGAGATTTAATCATGATTTTTTATATAGCTAACTCCAATGCAGGCTATGTGTGATATTGCAGTAGACCGCGCCACCAAGCTACAAAAAGCATTATAAAAACACTTGACCTCCAATATATCCAACTATTTATGCGTTTATACGTTTTTGGACATTTGTGAACACATACCCATGCAAATGCCATGATTTCGATCCGCCCCCCTTCCAAATTGTTCTGTATAGCTTTCAATTTAGATTTGAGGACCTCTACAGAGCCCCCGGCAAAGAATCTCATCTGTCATAATAGATAGCCCCCAATTTTCCCTCTGAGATTGCCTCCATTGTTAATTCCAGTCGATTATCAAGTTTCTTCATCTCACGGCCGGTTACCCTACCGAAACCCCATCTCCGCACCTCCAACACACACAAAATAGCTATCATGCAATCTCTCCTCCTCCTTCAGCATCTCCACAATTCTCCCGTCTTCGGGCGGACTCAGTGGCTGCTCGTGCAAATCCTCTGGAGAAAGTCCATCAAGCGTATCAAGGTACTCATACTCATCTTCTCCCTCTTCCGAAGAACACATGACATTGAAGTCGCTATAGATCATCTTCTCACACCCATCCTCCAATTCATCCATCAGCATCTCATCTTCTGAATCTAAAACATCATAGTTCGACCTTCCAAGTGGACTCGGAGGCAACACAAATTCATTCCACCTTTTGTTCTGTTTTTCCTCGAGAATCTCCCTTAGATGCATATCCACATCCAACAATGTCTGTTGCTTTCGCTCACGAAACATTGCCTCCCTTGCCCCATGCATCCGCATCTGCAATCTGATTCGATTGAAAATCGCCACCTTCCGCAGCACATTCCGTCCAATTCCAATTCCTTTCTTCCCTCCAACACCCTTCACACATACTTCTTTAATGCCAAATATTCTAGCATGTTTATAACTTGCGGGCACCGAAAACGGTCTACTCAATCGCGAGGTAATAAGATGAAGACGCAATCTTCTTTTTTTTCGTCCTGCTCCTTCATTCACGGTATTTGCGTTCAAGTTTCCATCGACGTCTGAGAGGGGGCGTGTACGCTTGGAGCGATAGGGAAGACATGGAGAGGGAGAGATAGACGAGAAGGTGAATTTGAAAGAGGCATTGGGTTTGTTGGGGTTGAGGGGGCCGAATTGGAAGGAAGGAGATATGGCCTCTGAGATTTGAGTTTGGATTTGGGTTTGAACGCCGAGTGTAGTGGAAGTAGTATGGTGCAGTGGTACCATGTCCACATTCGGTTCTATTTAGTGTGTGTTTGCCAATTTGAGCAATGAAGTGGACCGAAAGAGGTGGTTATAGAAGTATCTTCATCTCATTTCCTCAATGATAAAGCAAAGTAATAGATGGGATCTGGAATACTCATTTGGTATATTCTTCTTCCGGTAATGATGATCAACTTTACATCACTTGAGGTTGTATCGTTAATACCGCATCTAGATCGGTCAAGCGAGCAATTGATTTTAAATTCTCCAAAACAAAATACAATAAAGCTTCTTAGCACAAACAAAACAAAAAATAAACACAGAAAAAAGAGCCACCATCACCCCATATCATTCTCACAACACTTTTCCACAGCTCACCAGTAGTCTGTACAACATGCGTGCGTTCCACCACCTTTGCGGAATTTGCGGGGAAAGGTCATCCTTACGCCTAGCCGCCAATACATCTTCTAGCTCCTCGAGAGGCTTACGGGGTTGGAAGAAACCCTGTTGCTGACTAGATCACGAGGAGGCCTGCATGCTGGCATCGTCGATGCGAGAGAGAAATCATACCATGCGCGATATTCCAATACCAAGAAACACGAACGAAAGAAAAGGAAGGAACGTAAAGCGTAGCAGAGCAAAACAAAGGAAAGAAAAGATATAGGATCGATAGATCGAGAAAAGAATATGACAGAATTCAATATCTAGACAGACGAGATCACACAAAGTCCCTTCTCGAATCTCGAATCCCGAATGTCGAATTATCTGTTCTAGAGCAAGTTAGCTGCAAAGATCTTCATGCCTAACTTTACTTTGCTTTCCTAACCCTCACACTACTCTACTTACTCATCTCCATCTTCTTCAGCTAAACAAGTATCATATTCCACCCTTCCCTCCGGGCCTCATCTTCTAGCTTCCTTACACAAACCCATCCATCCATCCATCCAACCATCCATTCCAAGCTTCAATAGTTCGTTATACTAGTAAGCTCCTACATTGAACCTCTAGCTTCCAGCTTCTCGCTTCTACCTAATTAAATTTTTAGCCTCCATCACATTTCCAGAACTCTCCTGATCCTAAATCCAGACCCAGACCCAGACCATCTGTCATCTCAAACTCATCTCCCACCCACCATTAACCAGAAACCGCCCCTCGCGCCAGAATGCGGGGGCTCCATACATACGAAAAGAGTACCACGTCTGTCGATCTAACCCTTGCTTGGAGATAGACAGCTATTATTCCCTGCACGTAGAAAGTGGCGGGAATCCGCTAGAATAGATTAGGAAACTCCAGATTTTCTCACGAACCGATGTAACCCAAGAAAATTCCAAGAGTGAAGAATAGTTTCTCAGGGGAGTATATCTAGGTAGGTAAATCTGGGATATTCCCGGAGCTAGCCGATACTCCCTCACGACCACTCAGAGGATTAACTGTTGCCTACAATTTGCACATATGGCTCATCATCACAACTCCAAATTCGAACCACAGATAGTAGATGTTAAACTTTTTTTCTCATTGTACTTTTAGGCCGTTTTGTTTTTCGTTTATTTATTTATTTCAAGAGCCATGAGCCTCAGCGTTTTAAACACTAATCGTCTTAAAAACGTTGAAGTTCTCTCCAGTTCCCACAAGTGCTCCTGGAATCTGTGGATGCCAATGACACTCCTTAACCTTCGCCATATAATGCACAAATAGCAATTGTGGAGGAACGTCATTAACTCCACCAGTGTCCTTACTTTCCTCATCATCCAACTCGACTGCCAAATCCCACAGCGTTAGTGTGTCATCACCAGCTGCAACCGCAACAATGCTGTCATCAGTAGGATGCCATTCTACACTTGTAATTTGCTCTTTGTGGAAATTGAAAGAAGCGACTGGAGACGGTTTAGACGGTTCAGAAGTCTTTGAAGCTTTCCAATTTCGTAGATCCCAAACTGCCCAGACTCCGTCGTCGGCGCCGGAGGCAAGAAGATGAGAAGTTTGGTGTGACCAGGACATGACGTTTACATCTGTTTCGGAAACCTGAACTGTAAGTGCTGCGGTTCGAGATTTACTTCGGATGTCCCAGACTTTGATTGTTCCATCGCTGGACGCGGATGCGAAAACGTTCTTTTCCGAAGGACTCCATTGCAATTCCTCGATACTTCCAGTATGGCCTGTGAATGGGCGTGCATCGGCTGACCAACTCTCCCCAGCAGTTCTTGTAGAGACGTAAATTTTGCCATCGTTATCTCCTGTCACCAACTTTCCAGTAGATATCAAAGGCGACCAATCAACGGCATAGCCTTCCGATTTGTGCATTTTAAGAGTAGCTAAAGCTTTATTTTGTTGCGGAGTGATAACAGTGCCTGGGGTATCAAAAGAGGATAGATGAGGAGTAATATCGTGAATGAGAACCTGGCCAGATTCGCTCATTGAAGCGGTAAGGGTAGTTGGAGGCCGCGAAGAGTCTGAAGCGGGTATTTGATGCGAACGTATTCTGTTTGTTGTAGCAGTGAGAGGTATCGAAGCCGATTCAAGGATAGGATCCGAGTCTTCATCTTCATCTTCATCAGATTCGTCTTCACCCTGTTCTCTCTCCATTCTACTCAATCCACTAAACTTCATAACCATCAATTGATTTTCCTTTTCCCGTTTATGTTCAGCTTGTGTTCCTGCAACTGCATACATAGTAGCAGGGTATGTTTTTCGATTGTCGCCCAAACCATCCTTAAGTATATCGAAAGAAAGACAAGGCCAAGGGGTACTAAGAGCGTGAAGCATTTCGTATGTAGTAAGATCAGGGGATAATGTCTGTCCTGGTTCCAGTTTATTCCTACCAACTATGAAAGTTTGTTGATCGACTTCCATGGCCTCTATAAGCGCATTAGTAAACTTCCCATAAATGCGCACTCGCAAGAGCTTCATAACTGCTTCTACTAACCTGCTTCTTCAGCCTCTCTCTCGGCGTCAGGTCTTCCATCAACACCTGCCTCCAAAATCTCATCTTCGCTCTCATATTCATCTTCGAATTCGTCTTCGAACTCTCCCACCCCATCATCCAATTCTGGCTTTTCTGGCCTCTCTCCTGCCTTCAAGGACAGATCCATGTTCTCATCTTCAGCTGGACGTTTCGACATTTTGTATATGCGTGTTGTAGATAATTTGTTAGACAGTTTGCGACCCCTCAGAAAAAATAATTGATAGATTGTGGGGGTTTTCTTATCGTCACAATCGCAATTCAAAATTATTTTTTAGCGTCGGGTAATCTGAGGTTAAACTCCGATGGATTCCTGAACAATCTTGAGTCGATGCCAATAGTATCAGAGTTTGAATGTAGCCACCAAGATGTTGTATGAGCTCGTCGCAATTGTAAGTCTTTCTCAAATAGAATATTTAAAAAGAGAATGGACAATCTAACCAATCTCTAGGTTCGACCCGGCAACCTCGTCGAGGTCAAAGAGTAAATTGCCTTTCAATTTCCCCTCCTACTCACCTCAATAATCGAGACTAATAACTCATTCCTCACCTACAGAATTGCCCGCACAGCTGGCTCCCTCATACTCAGATCCGGCGGTACCATCCGCGGCATACGCAACTGGGGAGTATCCAGTCTACCAAAGCGAACACGCAAACATCAAGCACAATATCACGAAGGACATTACTTTGTTATGAGATACGACGCCTCGAGCAAGACGCAAGATAACGTACGAACAACTCTCGGATTAGATCCACGGATGATAAAGTTCAGTTCAGTGAAGTTGGGAGATGGCACATTGGAAAGTTTGAGTAAGATTGGCTCGACTATTCCTTGGACGATGGAGGAACATACAAAGGAGAAATGAGTGGTAGCATGGTGTCATTTGTGTGTTGTATTAGTAGGCGTCAGAAGGAAAATGCGATCAACATTTCCATGCCAGGGTATAGAGGACGATTTTACATTATGGAATTGAGGGATTGGTATTTCCACCTCACATTCTTGTATGGTGTTTCAAACGCCAGTCTGCTACCTAGAACGCCATTGCGCAACCAGGAGTATGCTTCGCTGCAGGTAAAAAGAAATCAAAATGCATCCCTTCTAGTTCATTATCATGCCTTCTCAATCAGTCTCCATTGTCTCTCCAGCTTCCTCCGAATCTCCCCTGTTCTTCTTTACCCATGCAACAAATTCATCAATCACGCTTGGCCATGCTGAATCTTCAGTCCAGAAGCTCAGACTCTCATCCTCCATTGTCTTTGCATGAAATTGATATGTCTGGTTCCATAAATCCTTGTTGACGCTCTTCTTCCAATTCTGTCCGAGGAACTCCAGCCATAGTTTGATCCAATCAGTCGAGGCGGTCTTCCATTCCTTCCCTGGAGAGTTGAACAAGAGCTCCCAGTATACACTGGCAAGTTCTAACGAGAGAGCCTTTTGTCCCTTCTCACGAGCACAGACAAAAGTGTGTTTATATACTCTCTTGAACAAGTCCGCGTCGGTCGACAACGAATCTTTGGCCTCTGAAATGTATGACTTTTGCTTGGGCAATGTATCAAGGCTGTTCAAAAGTGTTAGTAACTGAAGGTAAACATTGTGGGGACAGTGTTACCCCAATTTTTTCCATCCTTCGACAAAGCCATCTTTGGTCATCTCTCCTATTGATGGTACTTGAATGATTTCGCAGGGGATTAGAAACTCAACACCTTCAAGATTGATGCCCAAATCATCCCCAAAATACTTCATAGTACCGTCAACACCAACCATGTCGACATCATCATTGGAAGCTAGATCACCATTGTTCAGCTTCTTCTATATTCAACCGCCTTGAAGAGATATTATTCGAGATACATACTGCGGTAGCTCTCGAAAAGCTGCGTCAAAGATTCCTTTTCTTTTGTTTGGGCAGGGGTACCATTTCCTTGGAAGAAGCTATTGTAATTAGATTATTAGTACATATTGTGGAAGTTTGAATAAGTGCATAAACTGGCGAGCTGTTGACTGATAACTGATAGTATCTGTACTCATGATCGGTAACGGGAGCCATGCAAGACGTCTGCTGTCTTAAATGTGGACTGCGAATAAACCGTACAACATCTCACTGCGGTGGATGAAACTGAACAGCGTATATCTAGAGCAAAGTAGAGATAGCAAAGTAGAATAGTGATGGGTTCTGAGCTGAACATAGTCGTAAATTGGCAATCCTCCAGTCAAAATAACGATTTGGGGTGTCCACAACAGTGAGTGTAGACAGGCACCCTTCAGTATTTTCTAACGTCTCATGTATTTTTGCTGATAAAACTCCATACACGAGAACGATTTTGACTTTCGTTGCGTATCCCGATCATTTCTTAAGCATGCCGTCGTAGTTCGAAGTCATATCAAACATCGAGGCGATCGTGTGTGTCGTGTGTCGAATCGTAGTCCACATTTTCCCATATTCTTTCCCGCAGCTCGAGTTCTAGGAATTAGAACATTTGCTCACCTATCACATGCTGATTCTAGTTTCCATCCTGTCGCTTTAAGAATCTGCGAAACAAGATCTATCAGTAAATGGTTTATGTTTTGACATCTTGGGTGGAAGAGCTCAAGGCAACAGGCTTATACCAGTTTACTTACTTTCATAGCATTTCTTTCTGAAACCCCAGTAATTTGCATGAACTCATTGAGCATAGAACGTTGTTGCCCATTTGGAGGCATCTTGAAAAAAGTTCCTCTATATTTGGTGTTTATTGAAAGTCTGGAGGAGGAGATGGCGGGGTTGTGAATTTAAGAACATGGGCTTTTGGTCCGGCCTTAGTCCCGCAGCCTAGCGCAAAAAATAAAGTTATGGGTGTTGTATTAAGATAAGAAAGATGGTTTAGTTTATCATAAGCGATATTTGTTTCAGGTCGAGTCTTAGACGAGAATGATAGCTTTCGACAAAAAGGAGAGATGTCTACTCAAAAGTTTGAAGCAGTATTTGATTAGTATTGTATTATATATGGAATGACCAGAAGGAAACAATCCTGAAGCTGCTTTCTTCTTAAAATGTGCTAAATCCACCAATTAAAGAACTGCAGGAGATTATTCAAATTAAACAAGAATTAGTATGATTGCTTTGTATCATTATTACTGGTCCTAATCACCGTCATAGGCCTCACCCACACACCAAATCACTGTCCATCCCAAACAATATTTATGTATACAAGTATGACAGACGCTCGAATAAATGAACCCCCCGAAAATGAATGCTGCTAATGGTATCTAATTTGAGTTTTGAAAAGAACGCAATGAAAAGCAGCCGGCATATAGTTCCTCCTAATCCCCAAGTGGCATACTCTCAAGCTCCTCTTCCAGTTGTCTCCAGTTATGGGCTTGAAGCTCGGAGTACTTCACACGTTCTTGTGCCCAGTCTTGACTTAGTCGACTGATGTTATATTGTGTTGATTGGAAGTAGATGAGCTCATCTCTTATGCACTCTTTAATAAATATCCCTCGTGCATGCTGAGCTACAATAGACTCCTTATCCTATGAAACGTTAGTTCTCGTAAGCTTCAATTTCTGCTTTGTAGAGCTTACTTTGATAATGGCTTCTGTAACCTTTTCAATTTCTCCTGGCTTAACCATGTTTTCAGGCTTTGATCGTATTGTCACCAATTTATTCTCGTTGTTTTCAATCCTGCGTTCTAAATATGGAATATTGTCTTTGTCATAGCGATCCCGACGCTCAAACATATCTCTCATGCTGACAAGAGAGTCTCGTTGCTTCTTTAAGTCTTCTAGAACGCCTTGATCCCAGGCCTTAGCCTCATCTTCGAGAATGTTTTGACTATTAGAAAGATGCTTGGCAGTAGAATGAAGACCCTCGTTCAGCAGTGGCACATCATTGGTATCGATAGCGTAGGTGTCTTGAGAGACATCAGTGAGCGACTGTAAGCAAAGCGCCATGCGTAAATGATCTGCAGCAAGTCCTTCATTGCGTTTTGCTAGGCGGTCCATAAGATTGCACATGTTAACATAGGCTTCTGCAGATCGTCGGATACCAGTTCGAGTCTGGGCGAAGAGATCGTTCAGAGTAGGGGGAAGGGAGTCTTCTAGTCCCGGTGGTAGTGGTCGTCCAACAAATTCCTCCTGAACAGATATAGTAGCCTGCTTTCGCCAAACAGCAAGCTCCTGATGCTGATTAGCCTATACTTAGTAACAATATGTGAGATGTAAGAGAAGTGAGGACTTACTGTTGGAACAGTCAAAAACATTATGACCAATTGTTCTTGACTAAGAACAGGGTGTCGGACAAGTGCATTGGAAAACCGTGCTAATCCTCTTCTGCGTTTCTCCATAAATGAGCTTTCTGCAGCCAGATGATTTCCATTTACTAAGAATCCCTCAGGTCAGCAATGAAAATTTGGTGGGCAAGTCAAACATACCTGCGACTCTCTTTGGGGCAGGAGTGGCAATTGTCTGAAAGGGAATCGCTTTTGTAAGCAATCTAGCAACCAGACGAAATCACTATATCTTCTCACAACCTTACTTCCTCTGCGAACAGAAGAAACTTGATAGTTATGATGTTGGAATAAGAACATTCCCTCTTTCTCAGCTAACAAAGTGACGACTATATTCTCTTCTGCTCCATTACTAGTCACACGGCCACCGCCAAATGTGCGGGCTGGCGGAGCAGCTTCCTCTGGCCGTTCCCCTTCTCCACCATCGCCACCGAATCCACCACTACCACCAATTGGTGGTGTTGCTGAGTTGTTAAAATTTGGATTCGCATCATAGGAGCCCCATCCTCCACTCGCAGGCTCTATAGGAGCACTTCTAGACTGCTGACGTCGATCTTCATTTGATGGTCCTGTAGAAGTATTTGTAAAGCCACTTACGGTTCTCACAGGTTCGCGTGCTCCATTTGTCGGGGCTCCATTCGATCTGGGACTAGCATGATTATGACCTTTGTGAAGAGCCGGGCTTCCCCATGGATCAGCCTCGGGAAATTCCAGGGAGTCTTTTCGTAACATTCTAGATTGTGGGGGGACAATGAGTTATGTATGGATGGTACAGATGGTGGGGTTGCAGGTCGCTGAGCAGGCTTCGCAGTTGATTCATCGGTCGCAGAGGATTCTAAGTTTGCGGTTGCTAAGTTTGTCAAGCTTGCAAGCTTTGGCACTGGGAGATCTACGCATTTATCAGATTAGAACAAGCGAAAGTGAATATTAAAAGACACTGACTCCTTCGTCGCTCATCTACACCATCAAGTGTAACGTCATGGACATCCTCTTCTTCCTGAGCCAACCCAATCAAAGCCAATAGTACATTGACCTCGCTCCGTTCTAGATCTTGTGGTTGTGAAGTAGGGGCAATAATTTTCATGATCCAGCTCGACTTCTCGGGACCCAAATCTGCAGCATCTAAAAGTTTTGTCACGCCGGTCCTACTAAGTTTTCCATTGGATTCATTGCCATCCTTGAGTATATCATCAAAGATGTCAATATAACTCTCGGGCACGTCGGATGTAGGAAGAAGAGTTTTTAGTAAAGCTCCCCGGTCTAGCTTCTTTGGCAGTGATGTACCCCATGGCGAGCCTCCCGAAACATCGTCATCATCTGCGAATAATGAAGATTTGGATCCTGGGGTCGAACTTGGCTCGTCGTCGAAGAGGGATAATCGCGACTTTGACGGGATTGTTGCGCCAACAGGCTCGTCGTCATCTCCGAATAGAGACATTATATTCCTAATATCCTCTAGGATGTATAATTATGTACAGTAAGACAGAATTGAGTAATTTTGTATCGTAACGTCGTTATCATAGTAATTGTTTTGGGTATTTTGGAAGCTTGGAAGCTCTAGACGCGGGAAAGCTTGGACATGCTTTCTCACCATGTAACCGCGCATATTTTAGTACACTACCTAGGTGGGACTGTGGAGGAGGTATGGATCCAAGAAATAGGAAACTCAAATTGAGAGATCGATTTAGAATCTTGGTGATATTTAGAATTATTTTGATATGGTCTACTACATTTTATGAAATACTCAATAATTATTAATATCGTCATCTATGTTTGGGATAAGTCACGTTTCCGTAGTCACAATGAATGATATCGTCTAAACATGTAGGCCCCTTTAATTCATGTACAATATCCAGGTGTTATTAATTTCTTCGATACTTAAATTTCTCGTCTTTAAGAAGCCTTGGTGCATGGGAATATCATAGGTAATCATTGTGAGATTAAACATCGGGTATTTTAGATCCAAGAGTAGGCTGCAGGATAAGCAAATATAAACCTACAAATTGTCTTTACACAAAACGTTTGATGCTCGATCACTGATACGTTCGGTCTGCGGTGTAGTATTTGAGGGTTCATTACACATGTAAACTTCCATTTCTTGGTCAAATGTGACCTAGCTGCAAAGCTTTAAACCACACCAGAGCAAAATGAGACACGAGCACCTGGCTCTATATTTCTTCCTCGCTGAATCAGAGTATGATATACTCATGAAGAGATAAGAATATTTGCAATGGCCGGAACGAATCAACACCATCTGTTGCCTCCAGTTTTGTGCGTTGATGATTCAAAGAATGGCGTTCTGTCATCAAAAAATTGCGAAACTCTTGCTCGATCCGTATCGAAATACCTCATAGACATTCCTTATATTTAATATACAATGGCAACATTTACCATATCCTGTTGGCACTCGCTGCAGCACCTGTACCTGTCTTCTTCGATTTCTTTTGGAAATTTCCAGTTCGTGGAGCCCTAAAGAACAAACTTGGCCCTTGACCCTCCTCCACGGTATGACTTAAGTAGCCCCTGTGCGCCGGATCTCTGTAGTATTCGATGTCTTTACGACTTGTGGGATCTGGCAGGCGGTACGAGAATGGTGACGCGGCAGCGGCGGCTGTAAGGATAGGAGAGTCGCTAACCAACTGGGCATCGATTGCTGAAAGTGGGACAGAACTAGAGACAGATTCCCCTGCCAAAAGTCTCTTAATCGCTGGTTTTGTATAGAATCTAGTTGTGACTGTTCCTCCAAGCGCCTCCACTGCCTCGATTGCCGTCGCCGAAGCGCGAGATACCAGAATATTAATAGGCGTCTTCAACTCCTCCTTGCCTCTCGCTAATAGCTTTACTCCATCCTTTACTCCGTGTAAACATCGAGAATCGGCCAATTCCTTCAAAGTGATGGGCCGGGTGGGATCAAGCCGACCTTGGTCAATCCATTCTTGTATGCGATTAAGATTTATTGGGGACATATCAACGGAGAAACTGATAAGTTTATTAGCTATCGTTCGACACGAAGATCTCTCAAAAAGAACTTTGAATCTCAATTGAGTGTAGAAAAACTTTGGAATTCATACTGATTCTCAAATCCTCTCACACCGTGAACAACATCTTGTGGTGTTTGACCACCTTGGAATCGTGCTGGTACTTTTCCATGCTGCTTCTGACCCTTATGACCACGTCCTGATGTCTTTCCCTTTCCCGAAGATGGACCTCGACCTCTTCGTATACGTTTATTATATGCCCCAGAGTTGTCCGACAAAGATGAAAGAATCGAGGCGTTCCGGGTTTGCATCAATGGTGCAAGGAATGCAGCCAAAGGTGTGGCCAAAGTTGGCGCCGAGCGACAATAAGAAGTGAGCGCTGGTAATCGTGGAGGCATATTGTGTTGAAGGAGGGGGAAGAGGGGGTAAATTGAGAGGTCTTTGTCAATATTGAGCCTCACAAAGAGGTTCAGAATTAAAATTGTTGATCTGTTTGCTGATTGGTTTATTTGGTTATCTAAAAATTGCTGCCGCTTTAAGAATGCTCAATATCCGATTGTGTTCCCGGATTTTTCGTTTTCCCCAGGGATTTTAGTGAAGTTCTAGGCTTCTAGAATCCTTGTATGTAGCCTGAACACAGAGAAAAGCTCCGTAATTTTAAGCCTCTTTCAGTGTTCCTAAGCAGTAATTAACTAGATTTTCCACTTTTAATCCTCTGTAGATCAGATCAGGGGCAGAAAAGAACCTTATCAGACAGTCCCCAGGGACGGAGTAGGCAGCTGCAGAATACAGAATACAGAATAGACCAACCAACAGGCCAATCAACCCAATCCATCATACATGAGAGCAATTCGACCAAAAAAAAGGGAATCGACAATTATTCTTCTTTATATTGTAACCCAATACCATCTACAAGTTACAAAACTACAGTATACAGTATACAAGATCCCCTCCTAATGGACTGTTCAATGCTACTATCATCCCGAACTCTTTTATGACACCAAAGAATCTTCCTTCCAACACTCACTCGCATGCGCGCATAACTTTATAAAGAGACGATATAGTTGAGGGAGTGAATACGTCAAGCCGGCATCATGGGACTTGATCGCGGTCAACGTCGGTTTTTTCTCTTTCTAGCCATTACTGGTCTTGTAATACTTCTTTTCAATCTTTCCATGCTCTCTGGCGCGGATGTGCGATCAAAAGTGAAGAAGATCCCTTTGCCAGGTTTGAAAAACAAGCCCGATTCAGATGTTAGTACTGTCTTCGCCTCTTGACCTGGGGTTGCCTATTAATCTTGGATTTTTTATAGTCCTCAAAATCGCCGACGTCGCATCAAGACCAAGAAGTGGTGGGTGATATTGCAGACCAACACCCTATAGCTGCGCTTATGAAAGAAGCGGATGAAGCATTTCGAATATATGATGAAAGCAGATCAAAAACTTTCAAAGAAACTGTGTCAAAGTATAGAAAGAAATATGGAAGGCATCCGCCGCCAAAATTCAGGGACTGGTATAAATATGCTCGAGACAAGAACGTTTACAATATCGACGACTTTGAACAAGTTATGGATGATCTACGGCCATTCTGGGGAGTCGATCCCGCCATCATTCGATCCCAAGCGGCGCATCTTCATGCTAATCACGACGATGGTATCTCTGGGATTCACATACGATCTGGGAAAGTTTGGAAGTTGAGCAATGAAAACTGGAGAGCAGAAACTATGAAAGAAATGATTGAACCCTTCGTCAAGTTTTTACCGGACATGGATATTGCCATGAACAGGCTAGATCAGCCACGTCTAGCGATACCATGGGATGATCTTCAAGCTCTCCTTGCTAACGAAACGGCTAACAGAATTATGTTGCCAGAAGCTGTAGCCGAATTCACTACAAATATGTCTGGATTGTGGCAAAAGGGAGCAACTCTTCTTCAAGATGGGGAGACTGAACCTTTATTGAAGGACCCAGAGTGGTTTAGAGCACCTGGTCGACAATATATGTTGATCGCAAAAGAAGCCTGCCCTCCGGAATCTCATGCCAGAGACTCAATGTCTAAATCTGATGCAGAAGCCACCTATAAAAGTCCAGACGGAGGATTTATTACAAATTTCAACCTTTCTTCGGATCTTTGTACAGCCGGTCCTGAAATTCAAGATTTACATGGATTTCTATATGCAAGCAGTACAGTAACGGCCAGCAAGCTGCCATTACCCGTATTTGGAGAATGTAAAGTCAATATCAACAATGATATTCTATTCCCTGCAAACAAATACTACGAGTATGATGATGCTCGATACGCCTACAATTCAGCAGGTGACGTTGGATGGGATGACAAGGCGGACAACATGATTTGGAGAGGTGTCACTTCTGGTGGAACTAACACTGCAGAGACTTGGAAGAGGATGCATCGTCAAAGATTAGTTCTACTTACCAATGGCACCGTTATGAAAGATACCAATGTGAATATCATGGCCATGGATCCCCATACTCCTGGTACATATAAACCTTATGATCACTTCCAACCTAGCGAATTCGCCACTAAACATACGGATGCTGGATTCACGGAAGCTGCTTCCTGTGTACCAAACTGTAGCTTCTACGATGATGTCTGGACCTACAAGCCATCTGTAGAACTCACCGACCAATTCAAAAGTAAATATCTCATCGATGTCGACGGCCATTCGTTCTCCGGACGTTGGCATGCCTTTCTCAAAAGTAAGGGTCTGGGTATCAAAAGCACTATCTTCAGGGAATGGCACGACAGTCGATTGTTTCAATGGAGACATTTCGTCCCATTGGATAATCGGTATGATGAGTTGTATAGTATCCTTACGTATTTCATTGGATTAGGAGATGCAGACTCGAAAGGAAGAGATGGAAAGCCGTATGTACAAAGACACGATTTCGAGGCAAGAAAGTTGGGGAGACAGGGAAGCGAATGGGCCAACAAGGTTTTGAGAAAGGAGGATATTGAGGTGAGTTTGTTCCCGAATTAAATTACAGACATTGTACATGGGTTGTGCTAACCCAGCCTGGAAACAGATCTATCTCTTCAGACTTCTAATCGAATACGCCCGTATTATCGATGACAATCGAGATAGGATAGGATACTCCGGGGATGGAAGTGAGTTGGACAAATACGATAGCAAAAACCCGGTTACTGGGCAACATGGGTAATGATTGAAACGATTTGGAGATAGTAATACATGGGCGTGGCGTTTGGGCATGCTTCATTTTTCACACGGAATGGAAGCGAGAACTTAGGGGTAATGGGTGGATGATATGTTGTGTCTATAATTGTATATGTGAAAAATGTATGAATGGTGGCGGTCAGCTTCGGTAACTTTTGTACTATATCCATCTCTCTCAAAAGACGCCTAGTTAATTACTTAATTCAATGATATAAACGAAGGGGGAATTGCATAAATAATAAAATCACTTATTCACAGCGAAAAATAAAAGACTTGCTTTCCTCTGTCGGCACGATGCTAACTTGCACGAGCGACAATCTCTACACTCGAAGCAAACAACGCTCAATACTTCCTCAAAGCGTCTCCACTCATCTCACATCCCTCATCTTACATTTTTCGCTCCCGAATCCATCACTAAAAGAAAGTCCAGAATCTCTCCGACCAAGCTGACCAACAGCAAAATCTTGGCACCCGAGGTACGTACTTGCCTTGCATACATGATCTCCGAAGCGAACAGGCATGCACGAGGTCTCCAATACGAGCTTTCTCGCTTATGCACATCGTCTGCATCTATTATGCTTATTGTAGACTTGCATTCTTGGCATCGATAGTAGAGATGGATATTCAAGGTGGTAGTCTGGGTCCGGGTCCATTCTTCGGGGTGTACGGGTGAATAGGGAAATTTTTCTTCAGCGTACGGACGTATGGTGGTTTATGAATGTGAATGTGCAAGTTTAGAATACTGTGTACCCCGGACGCTGAGATTCTCGCGTGGATGATTGATTAGGTAGCTTCTGGGCAGGGCAGAAGATCTGGACATATGGGTCCGGTTCTCGGGCGGCTTCCTCCCGGTGCCAAGCTTGGGGCGGTTGACCGCTTGCTTTCTTGCTTGTCTGTCTGTCTGTCTCTTTGCCTGCCTGTTTTGTGTGGAAGGGATGGGTGAGGTGAGGGGAGAAGTGCTGATAGTAAGCATACGTATGTATGTATTTACATCAGACTCGTGAAAGAGTCTGGGACGGAGATGGGATGAAGGATTTACTATACATGATTACCGTGCGTCTTTTTCTCTCTTGGCGATGAAGAACAGCAGTTCTTCATTTGTGGAAAATTGGTGGGATGTAAGGGATGAGATGAAGATGCCATTGAAGTTGTCATGCTGTCGCAAGCCTGCAAGTGCAGACTGGTAGGTGGTGAGATGAGGGGGGTGGCTTTTATACCTATAAAGTAGTTGGATTGTCTATTCTGTTTGAGTGTCTCCCGACTTCCTGATTACTAGTTATTATCTACCCATCCATCTATCTATTCGACATCCAGCATCCAGCATCCAATCTCCATTGCCCAACCAACCAACACCGCCCCAGAACGAACTCTTCAAACCACAACCACAACCATGAAATTCCCCATCACCCTTCTCTCCCTCAGCACTCTCCTCCCTCTCATCACCGCCGCCACAACTGCCAAATTCTCCCTCCTCTCCAAATCCACCTACACCCCCTACAACAACGTGCATTTTGGATCCGTCGGTTCCGTATCCGGAACCCTCGTCGCCGGTCTCCAACCCCTCCAGACTCTTCCCGTCGGAGGAACAATAACCAACGGTGTACTCTCATTCATCGGGATGGATCCATCAGATGATGCTATCCCGGCGTATTTCATCCACGGCGCGGCAGGGAGCTGGGTGCAGTTGGATGTGTGGGCGAGTCCACAGAAGGGGTATAGTTTAGATAAGAGTGGAAATTTGTTGGTTGATGGCGCGGGAGCTTTTTATGGTAGGTTTGTTTTTCATCAGAGGAGATTTATGACGAGTCTGTGGAGATTGATAGGGCTTGGTTGCTAATGTGTGATCATCTAGCTTGTTTGACAAATACAGATTTTAGCACTGGTGTTATTGGAGTCTTTTATACGACGGCTGGAGCGAAAGTTCCCAGTGGTTGTTATGCGATTCAGTTGCAAGCTGTGTATTGTGAGGAGGATCTCAATAATTGCGCATGAGGAAGCTGGTGGGACTGGATGTGTATGGATGTAATATGGGATGATGAATTGATAGAACGAAGAAATGAAGTTTATGAAGCCTTTTTGGCGGTGGTCAACGTTTAGTAGGATTACATTTGGGAATAGAGAAGATAAGGTTAGTCCATTGGCTAAATACATAAGTTCTGAAGTAGATCAAAGAGATATATAAACGATCTGAAATATTGGATATGTAAGATGCAATTCGCAAATCTCATTTGAAAGTCATGAGCTGTTTACCCACCTCCCATCTCCGCGACATTTCGCATGAACCATCTAGTGAAAGTGTCTCTTCCATTACCATTTCTGTATTTGGAGATGAAGGAAAATAGTGAAGCAGGCCATGAATGCACGTGAGTGTTCATTGTCATCTAGGACTTTTCAATATCTCAATCCTTTATATGTAGCTAACTCTCATACAACCAAGACTTCTCTATTATTCTCCCCTTTGATCTAAAAGTAATAGGCCACTACAATCCCCTCAAAATATCATTCACTTGACACTGACAGGAATAAGGACCTATGATCAAGATACCGACTCAATCCTCTCAAACACTACCCGAGGGTGTACTCCTATCACTACGACTTTTCTTGACCCCGTCTGTCAAAAATGAAAGAGAGCTCACAGAAATTCTTCAAACAGAAAAGAACAGCATCATTATTACATCATAATCACAACATCCATACATCCGATTCGCTCGACATAGAAAACACTCACTATATACTATGCAACCACTCAACGCCAGAGATCTCATCAGCTCCTCGCCCCTAAATACTACGTCTATATTACCTTTCGATCATTCTCCAAATCACAATGATTTCTCTCGATAAGACTCTAGACCGAATGTTGAAATTGAACACACTCCTCTGGAAGTAAAGTAACAGCTAAGTCGTTAACACACTCATCCACATCCACAACGATCTCAACCTTAACTCCAGACTTAGCAATTCCATTACCCCTATCCATCTTTCATAGTTACACACCTGCACACTTACATAAATCCCCAAAAGTTCATGCCTCACAAGTTACAAAAAGAACATTCATCCATCCACCCATTTTCAACAAAACACATTAATCAAATACATAAGAAACTTTCTACCAACCAACCTCCGAGCATTACCCTCCCGCTTCCTTAAATTACAAACCTACTTTCGCTGATCAGGAATCTGCAACCAAAGATTTCAAATTCCAAACCCCCAAGTCCAAATTCGAATCCCGAGATCCAAAAAGAATATCGATATCGATATCAATATTAAGAATCATTCCTCCCCCATCATCCATGAAACTCCTCGAAAGATACATATCTAAAAATTCGAACTGAGCGCTATGTATGTATATTTCCCTCGCATCCGTATCGGACTCATCACTACTAATACTCATGCTGTTACTTGTAGCTAGAAGAATGCGGGAGGAGTACACTGAAATGAAGGACTGGACTGGACTGTGTCTAGAAATCTGCGGTAGAAAAAAAAGAGGATAATTGAGTTCGTGGTGTTGTTTTACCTTGATAAGATATGTTTGACACTCTGAGACGGATACGATGTTTAAGATGAAATTTGAAATGGAAGGAGTGCTGGGATAGATAGTGTGAAGGAAGGACGGAAACGGTAAAGGATATAACATAGTATAGAGTAGGCTAAATTGAGATGTTGGAGTAATAGATTATACTTCGTCTATTATAGATGATGATATAATGAATGGCATATCGCTTATAGCTACCTAGTCATCGATGTCGCAACCTCTTGACTCCTGATTTCAATCCGGGAAGCGAGGATCCCTAGAGAGAAGCTTTTGGAACGTCTACGCTAGAGGTGTAGTTATCGCATTATTGGATTCGATTTGATGGTGCAGATTTGCAGTGAGATTCTCAATTATTTAATCTAAACATCAATAGTGTTGGAGGTATGAGAATATTCGCGTTATGTAACTACAGCTACAACCACAGGCAGTCCATGCATCTACTGAAGACCGACTATAAATCTTAGCTACTGTTGATGTCCTAAATTGTATTTGCAACAATCTACAACAAAGAAGAATCCAACAAAGAAGCCATTCCTTCCGAACGTGGAGTAAATCTGCAATCGAAATGCAGAGGATGGCTAAACCAACAACAATCAGTAAGCAGTCTCCCAGAAACAGGATATTTCAAATTTCAAAAAGATATCCATACCTCGATAGACCCGTCGTAAAGCCCACCACCGGCTCAACATCCTCCCCCTTCGAATCCACCGCCTTCGAAATATCAACCGTAGATATCAAAGTAGCCAACACAATCCACACACTCCCCAATGCCAGATGACGACCTACACATATTCTGCGGCCAAACCCAAACGGTCCTTTGAGATACGGTTCCCCAGCTCCACCTTGCTCGACTGGAAGATATCGGTCTGGATTGAATAAATCGGGATTGTTGTAAACCGTCTCATCGCGACTCATCGCCCATGTATTGAAAAATACATTCGTACCCTGGGGAATGAACATCTCGTTGTAGATGTCATCGTTGAGACTTTTGTGTGGGACGCCGAGAGGAGATAAAGGTCGCCATCTAACTATTTCTTGAACAATATGTTCGATATAGAGAAGATCTGGGTGTTCTCTGTCCTTTAATGAAGGAAGACGATCTAGTCCGATAGTCCGATCGAGCAGACTTCTTGCTTTGTGAAAAATAGTAGGATTGAGTAATAAATTTAAAATTCCCACTAAAGTCGTTGCAAAGGTGGTGTCTGATCCTGCAATAAATATAGCGGCAGCGGAACCATTGATATCTTCCATGGCAAAGTCATTCGGTAGATTATGGGACTCATTTTTCTCATATCTTTCAAGCAGAGGATATACGTACGAAGAGTTTTGAGCTGCCCCTTTATTCTGTTCTGGATTAGAAATGTTCAATGATTCACAGAGGCTATGACAACATACAAAGTCCTTGCGTGCAGCAGCAAATGGAACATCATGAAGACGTTTTATCGCGGATCCCCAATTCTTCGCATGAGTTATGGCTTTCGAAGGAACGAGCCAGTGAGGAAGGTTGCCGAGGAAAGGAAAATAATCAATGACAGTAGCTCCTGGTGATCCACCACTTCCCGTAGCATTGATTGCATCCGCTGCAATTTTGATGTACTCGTCATCATCATTCTTTAAAGTGATTCCAAACGATACTCTCAATACAATAGCAGAAGCAAACCTATCGAAAGTAAGCATGGCTATTCAAGAAACTGAGATACCCCTCGCATTACTTTACCTCCTTAAGGCAATTTCCCAGTCATCCGGCCGTTGAGTAATAGTATGCAGAGCCTGACGTGCTTCATATTCTTGTACTTCTCGATACCGTACGACACTGGACTTCGTAAAGGCCGTCTGTAAATGTGTTCTGTGTGCCTTGAAACGTGATCCCCATGGAAGAAATGTCAAGGTTCTACCCCATCCCATACTATTTTCGATCAGCAATGTAAGCTCGAGAGAAAAGATATCACTTACACCTCAAATAGAACAAATCGAGGTCGGTCACAATAATTAGCTCCTCTCCTAGAAAGAAGTTCATCTGCAGCTTTCACAGTATTCAAGACTACAACTGGAGTAAGAAATTGTTTGAAATATAGTATATCTGTGTCTTTTGGTATGTTAGCATATTGAAGAGGAATACATTAGATATAGTTTACTTACTGTACTGTTGTGACAACTTTTGATAGTACAAGTGCGGATCGTCCGTGGGAACTAATCGGATATGTCCTAATATTGGTTCGCCTGGAGGACTTGGTGGAAATGGATATCGTGATTTCTTGAAGAAGGTTCGCCAAAAAATTGTAGATAGTATGATACATGCTACAATAACAAGAAATGTCATAGAGGACACTCCACATTCGGATATCATGTTGATCATAATAAACTCTTCCAGCTAGGATATCGATATCACAGCTGGGAGTAAACACGTATAATTTATAAAGTGTGAAGTCCTACATCGTAACAATGGCATGCAGTAGCAGCATATCTTATCTCACCCATTACCTGGTTCGCACGCCATTCGAGATACTCATCAGGGAATGAATTCGTCAATAAAACGAAGACATCCAATGAGAATAAGCATCTCGACTCAGTCTGCAGTACCTCGACTCTTTGGGTAGTGAGCCAGCTCCACAATGTGAAATTGGATGCAGTAAACGAATCAGAGATTCTACTTGACGAAGCAATCTAAAAAGTTGCAGAAGTCCAATACCTAGGTAAGCTGTCTACCGAGAGAATTACGGTATGTGAAAGATGTCTTAAGCGCAGCCCCGCCAATTTTAACCTTATGCCCAACTTCAACACAAACAAACATCATAATTCCATTCTAAAGCAGTCGAAATGGCAAGATCTTCATGATAGCTTTCATCATCTACTATATCTCTGAATTCAAGTGATTAATGGTAGGCACACATATGGAAATGCATCATCTCATGTGCAGTCAAGTCAAACTGCCCAATTTCAAAATGTTTTCTGGCTTCTGAATATCAAGCGAATTCTATGGATACTAGAACCTAAGCAACAATGGCTAGGTAGCTATGGGTCTATCCATTTCTTTGAGTTGCCATACCAAGAGTAGACCATAGATATAAGCCTTTCCGTCGCTCTTCAAATTCGCTTCAAAGAGAACTGTATATATGACCAATCATCTAAGAACCAGCAAAGGGATGATCGATCTATCATGATACAACCTTTGAGCAAATCTTTCATTTTGTGTGCACTGAGTCGACCCAAATGGATAAATGCTGTGGTATTGACGAGGGTGGGTTTACATTGGAGAGTATCTGATATCTAGTATGTAATGATGTGTGGATGGTCTAGTCTGGTCTGATGGTGTTCGATGTGTGGTGAGTACATTGATAACCTAGTGGTCAGACTTGATAAAGCCATTCTACAAAAATGAAGGACGTTGGTGCATAAAGAACAGCATAGAGACAGACTATAGTAGATATAAGAAGTACATTATGAGAAATCCACTCCTCACACTCCTCTCAGGCGCCCGCTCTTTGTCACTCCGTTCTCCAACTCACATCATTCATTCATTCATAAGGCAAGATAGAAAGGAAAAGACCTTCCCTAACCATACATCTATATCCCGTTTACCCTATGTCAAAATTCCAGCTTTTGCACATATTATTATGCAATATAATTGATACCTATCAATCTACATCACCACAAAATAACCATCCCATTCCATTCCATCCCAACTTCTCCCAACTTCTCCCAACTTCTCCATCGAAAAACACATAAAACCATAAAACCAATCAACAAACACTCAAGCAAGCGCGCTCATCCAATACCCACACATTTCATTTCTCGAGCCTTTACCACTCCATATAGCTGGATCTTTGTACGTCCCTCATTCCTCAAATATATCTGGATTAGATTAGACAATATCATACCTCGCCACATCAAACTCCACACCCCTATCAAAGATATAGAATCAAGAAACATTTATCATAGCAGATCAGAGTAGATCCACGACAACCGATACGCAATCTCTCTCACTCACACACATAGACACAAAAATATCTCCTCCTTACTTCATGTACACCCCCCAAGCATATTCATCCGCGCTCCCCTTCCATCCTCTCCCATTTCCTACATCCAAAAAAGCTATTACACGATAGGAGTCCGAACTCGCGGCTGCTTGACTTCTGATGTCCTATCTCGTCTTTTCCCACGCGAAGAATGTATATGTATACGAGGTACTACTAGTAACATGCGAAAAGAGTACTTGTTCCAAGCATCTTACGTGTGAGGCTGAAGTTGAGATCGCAGTCAAGGTTCGATACAACGCAATAGAATCGGAATGTAGAAGAATTAAAGACAGAACAGAGGAAGAGTGGAGGTTTATGACCGATACTAACGGAGTAGGTAAGTGTCGAATAAGTAAATAAATAAATAACAATTATTCTCTCCGCATATCTACTTACTTACTTACTCTCTACCTTGAAGTAGATATAGAGTGTGCTTGTAAGATCTTACATGTACATGATTCTTTTACTACTTATTATACATATATCTAAGTAAGTATATATACATATCACTTGTGACCTCCACTAGTACTGAATTATCGGTAGATGAATACATTAAATTATATTATATTATATTACATCACTGAAACCTTATACACTCACCCTCTCCATAAACCACAGAAACAAGACTCCACCAACAGAAACAGAAATAGAAATAGAAAAAAAATCCCACATTTCCAAATCTCAATCTCAATCTCAATCTCAAACCTCACAAACCTCACAAACCCTTTGTCTTCATTATTCTCATTCTCATTCTCCCAATCCCAAATCCCAATCCCAAACGCAAATCCACTATATCAGATTAGACATGACATGAAATCTATAAAGCAGAAAGAAGTAGGTAGGTAGGTAGGTAGGTAGATGATATTTTTATCAGCTGTGAAATATAAAATATAAGACAGATATATGAAAGAATATAAAAGGGAATTCGATCCGAGATCAGATCTCGGAGGAGAGCTTTGTGTGGAGATTTGAGAGTTAGGTTTTGATGAAGGGGGATTGGATGTATGGTGTTGTATTATGTTTTTTAGAGGAGGAGAGAAAGAAAAGGGTTCGGGTATCCCCCTTACATTTCGCGAAGGGAAGCGATGGCATGAAGAGAGCTGGCTGAGGATAGTATTACTGGATCTCACATGTACTCGAGTGTGTATGTATGAATGAATGGATAAATAGAAGAGCAGATAGAGATACATTATTAGATAACTAATATGTATTCTGTAGATGAGAAAACGAAATACCTACTACCTAGCTATATATCCTGAGGGGAATCGAAAATGAATAATGTCATTGGATAATAGATGGTTGGTACTTTAGATGATTGGTACTTTAGATGATTGGTACTTTAGATGATGCGGATTTTGCACATGTTCATATCATACTATGGATGAAGTATTGAATTCTTTGAGAGTATTACATGATGAGAAGAATATCTTTCTTGATTCATATAGAATTTATTGTTGGATGTATTGTGCTCGAATGGAGTAGTATAGTGTAGTGTACTGTAGTATAATAATGCATATATACCTACATACTTGGTACTTTTCCTTAATGGCGTACTATCATATCATACCATACCATACCATACCATACCATATCATTTTCCAGTACTGCACTGCAGTATTCTATACTTTGTATTTTGTATAGAGAGTCCTGGTACCTTCACTAGGTAGGTAGGTGTATAGGTAGGTATACAGGTAGATATACAGGTAGGTATGAATACATACCCTTCATTTATTATTTACATATTACGGATGAGTATTCATAACAAATATAAACATGCATATGGAAGAGCGCTTACAGAAAAATACCTATATCCACTACCTCTAATATAATACATTATACATTCACTATATTATATTATACTATAGATACATAAGCCAAGCACCTCAAACACATTTAGGAAGGTGATACGGTCATGTCGTGATGGGGATGTAAGTGCTAGGTAGTGTACCTGGTGATTTTGATGGCCAATAGGATAGGGATGAAAAGAAGCTGAAACGTGTTGTTGTGAGGGGAAGGGGTTTGGATGGGTTGATTGGATGGTTTGGGAGAGGGGGTGATTGGAGTTTGGTGGGTTGATGGGTATGTGTATGGAGGTGTGGAGGTGTGTAGGTGTGTAGACTTGGGGAGATGGGTCTTTTTTTTGGCGGGGGGATAGGAAGAGTTTGAGACTTGTTGTGTTAGGTAGGTGGTAGGTAGGTGGTAGGTAGGTGGTAGGTATATACTTACATACACCTATACATACACATTCGTACACGCCATTCATTAAAATCTAGATAATTTAAAAAGTGCACAGATTGGATCAGATGAGATGAAATGAGACCAGATGAGATGCGGAGGTGAACCTTGAAGCTTAAAGGGCAATATAGAAAGAGAGAAAGAAAGAAAGAAAGAAAGAAAGAAACTCCCAGCCCTAGATGATCAATCATGATAAGGGAAACAAAAAGGAAGGTGGTAAGTGAGGTGAAGAAATCAAGACGTGGATGATTAATCATCAAGGGTAAACAGATGTAGATGTTTACGTTTTCACACCCATTCTCATTTCATCCAGAGGAGAGTTCATCTTCTTGTCTTGGATCTTATTTATTTAGAGTTGGGGTTTGCTTAAATGTCTTGGAGAGGAAAAGAGTCTAAGGAAACTAAAGATAAAGCCTATCTTGACTACCTACGTTGGATTGGGATGAGGGGGATTTGGTGGGCGTGAGGTGTGGCTGGGAGATGAAGATGGATGAATCTCTTGATTTGGGTGGTGGAGGGAGCGGATGAACTTTGAAGTTGCGTTGGTATTGGATCGTTGGTGTTGGATTCGAATGTTATATCGTTGGTGATATAGGGATGGATGGTCATATCATACTTTTAGCACAATCACAGAGATCACCATCATCGTATGGAACAACAATAACCTCCGCAAAGTCCTCTCTTCCGAGGAGGATAAGTACACATGTATCGAAGCATTTGGTTAAGATGAAGTCAAAAACAAATAGTTCTTTGATGGAAATCGTGTTTAACTTTGATGTGCAGCAGCAATTGTTAAGGTTTCTTCCCTCTCTTAATCATTCATACATACCGTAGCAACAACAGCATACCTACATGAGTACCGGTACTCGAACACGCATTCATCAATGCTGATGTAGATCTCGGAGGTAGATAAGATGGAGCAGGTCAGAATGGGCCAATGATATTCGGTCGAAAGATGGAATTGGAATAAGGAAAATCAATGTGACCCAAAAATGATGGATGCGGATGATCAAACGCAAACTCAAAATAATCACTCGTTGTCCTTACATTCCTTCCCCATCCCCAGATGATCTTGATAGGAGATCCTTTTTCTAGAACATTTCCC